GACCGGGTACACGACGGACTAATGAAGCGAGGTGGCTCTCATCACATTCTGTGATGGATCAGACACACATAGTTGGACCTGACTGTCTCTACATGTTGGCCTTGCTGCTACACACATAGTCATGGTTGTTGTCAAACTAGAAGGGTGAATATCGCTACGCCATGGCAAGGTCCCAGGATTGAACTACGTCCCAGATAGGCTATACACGGCCGCTTCGTGCCACCTGCCACCTCTAACTACAATGAGTCAATACACAAAGAGGACTGGTTAGACGTCAAAAGAAAAACACTGTAAGTAATTTCACTGTAAGTATGGAACAGACTCCAAATACAAATCAGAATGCCAGGATGAGAGATATTAAACGGGCAGAAATGGCACTAAATCAGTCACTTCCAAATGCATTCCAAATGTTGTCATCATCGCAACAGCGGGGGTCTTCCTTCCTCCGTCCAGGCACCTCCTTGGGAAGGGGTGGTGGTAATGAGGGGTGAGGGGCGAGGAGCGTTTGGGGGTGGGACACGTTGACTAGGGCATGGAGAATGTAGTGCACACTTTCCCCGACATGGACATGACAGTACTAGATATCACATAGGCCTAGTGAAACATTTTGACGTCCTGTAACTTGAAGTAAAAGTATTACAACGCACTGTCACTGGCGGTTCTTAATACAGATTACCCATCCAAAGCTGATATCCTTAACGTTATTTGTTGTAACCAATGAAACAAATATGTTATTTGTAGAGCATTTTCAACATACATACGCTCATGTCACCTCTCGTTTTGAGGAACTGTATTATTCCACGATACGTCTCAGTGTAACCTGAAAGTCACACTACTAAATGAAATTTGTATACATCCATCGAGGTACAAACAAGGGAATGAACAACTAATAAGCATTGACTTTCACATTGTGCGAGTCTATAAAAGTATGGACGTCCATACAATGTTTAGCCCTCACTCTATGACGGAGAGGCAATGTCGATCAGGGGTCGCGCGTCTATATTATCAGGAGGATGACCGATCTGGCCCAGCGCTATCAGGGCCGGCCCCCGCCAAGGTGACCACTTGTAGCCGTTTGGCTAGCTAATTGAAAGAGACAGACATATGGCCAGTGGCTTGAGTAACCAATCCGCCCTGAACATACGGCAGTGGCCATCCCGTCCACGCCAACAGCCTCTCTTTGTGGGCAGTGCTCGGATGAATGCAAATATGCCAGTCTTCGCTACAAGTAGATCGGAGAGAACTTGACCATCATTATTATAGTTTAAAGAACATTAAACGTTCTTATCTGGGAGCGGGGCTTACCAATGCTATATGTATCAGAGCTTGGAGATACAACAGTTCAAGTTGCCCCATTGAACCTTGGGGAACGGGTCATTTTAGTAGGAAGTCAGCTTGTTTTGCGTATAGGATCGAAAGACGATAGCATCTGGCGATATATTTTTTTCTTGTCAACTATCTCCCAATGTCAGTCATGAGCATGGCGGTTGACAGGAGGCAGGCAGGTGGGTAAACATGCGATGTTGTTTTACGCGCGGAACAAGCTGCTGCAATTTCATAATTAACATGGAATTATAGCTTCGGTAAACACGTCTTCGTGTTTTGTGCTTTCTAAAAACTTGTCGAATGTAGGCAGTCGTAAGAATGGCAGTAGCCGATACAACGCTGACTATGTGCAGGGTAGTTTCTGGTAATATGCATCCATAAGGGTGTCCTCCAACACAGTGCTGCTGAGTGGGTTGTGCCACAACACACGTCAGTATACAGGACTTTGCACATTCAGCATTTACTCGGAAAATATACGGCAAAAATAATTCTATTTGGTACATTAATTGTTTTTTATATATATTTGGTATACAATTGTTTTGATACTCGTGAAACCTGTTTAAGTACCGCACAAAAACGTTTCAAATGACATAAAATGTAAATCATCACTAAATCCTATTATCTTTGAATGTGGGCAAGTGCAGCACGGGAGGAGACTGCGTCGTGACTAAATACAGGTACGTCCAAGCTATCACGGCAACGTTGGTGGAATTGTCGTTGATGAACATAGCGCGCTAAGCCGTTATACAACCGTTATTTAGGTATACGTGACGTACAGCACCCTTTGACATCTCATTACTAGCCCGTCTGAAACCAAACACTGTACATAGGCACACATGGACACATAAATAAATAAATAAATAAGTAAATACAATAATAGCTGTAAGAGCGCAATAGTCATACCCAGTGGATATCGCTAGATCTTTAATGAAACACTGATAGCGAATATAATTTGATATTCTATGAAATTACAAATTCCCAAATATATCAAACACATGGGCTTGGTTTTGTTGCCATACTGATGAGCACAATAAGATATTTTATATTTAATTGAATACAAGGAAAATGTGCCAACGTTTTCATTTGTGAGTAAATGCTCATTCAATTCAATTCAATTCATATTCAAAGAAATAGTTGGCGATTTACATTAAAATCATACAGAAATCGGAAAAATGATATTTTAAAAATAATTGCCCCCCCCCACCCCCCCCCCCCCCCCCCCCCCCACCCCAAAAAAAAAAGAATCTCATAATGTAAGAAAACTGATGTATCAATGGCACCAATTTGAGAAGAAGTTGGTCTGAAAGTCACGCGCCGATCTGTGGAGCATCTCGTGAACTGTTTAGCGGCAACTAGATAGCAGAGTACCGTCCCCAGCTGATACCCAAGAGTATAATTAATTTGAAAAGTAAACCGTTCTTGTTAAGAAGTCCGATCAAACAGTGAGCAAAAGGGCTTATCAGGTAATAAAGCAACTGATTGTGCGTCCCACAGGGACGATATCGGGGGCAGATACACATGCCGGCCAATTTACTCAGTTGAGCGACACTGCCAAATTCATATGCAATCGATCTTGAAAGAAATTTGTTGCATTTATGGTGCCGTTTAACTGATAACATATTCGTTATGTTTGTAAGCTATTGGGTACGGCGGAACAGATTAACACATATTTGGAGCTCAACATTTGCAAGAAATTATGAAATTTATGAAATTATTTGAAATAGGCCAATTTTATACTGGCTTAAAATAGACGTATGTTAGTAATGAAACCATTAATACAATTAAAACATTTATGCAGATATACTCTTAGTACCTAAGGTGGGTCTGCCTGATATAGTGTGTAAATTCCGGCACGTGGTATCAAACGTCGTTGTTTCACACGGGAATAAGGAGAGCACGTGGTCATGTACTTCATGTTACAACAGTGTCAGATATGACATCGGTTCTCAACATGCATTCATTACACTCCTAAAATATACATGCATGTCATTGAAACTCAATACGAACAGATTTAAACAAGCTTAGCTAATACGTTAATTACCCATTGCTTTTGTAAAGTGATATCTTTATTACTCTGAGGGGGCGGACCTCTGTAAACTCAATTACCATTCAAAACAACCAACACAAACATGAGACGGTCTGTTTCTCCTTAAAAGAAAATACACATATGTGAAATATAACCCCCCAACACAGTGAACGCAAACTAGCTATAGTACTCGAGAATTTATTACACAATTGTTGAAGAGCATTCACTTATCTCGTGTTATAATAATGTTATTTAGGAAAATATATAGGTTCTTTCAAGTTACGTGACAATTTAACACCACAAGTCCTGTACTTATATGGAACCAAACATTTGATCGAAATGTGATTGATTTCTCATACAGACAATATATGTTTAATACTTTACATTATATGTGGGGGCTTGTCAAGTTGGGAATTGTATATTTTTCATCATTAATTGATTACAATATTCTAACTTTCAACCCTTTTCATGTGTTGAGACAATTTATCTTCCAACAAAACAATAACTCCCCTATGTTGCCCCCTCCCCCCTTGGTTGTCCTTGTCGTTCCTAATCTGCATCATGTACAGAGCAGGATTCTGTCGCATTTATTTTCTCCCCAAATATCCATGCACGCAAAATTGTCAAAACTAGTTATAGTGTATTGCTACAATCAAAACAGTCTGTGTGCGATATAAGAAAATATCAACAAATTGAAAGCTTCGAAATCCACCATGAAAATAAACACGAACTTGATATATCTCTCAGATATACGCTTGTTATGCTATCATTTAGATATTTAAGAAATGTTATGAAATTTTACATGACTCGACGGGTGAAGTTTCTCACCTTAATGCTGAGATAAAACCCCTTCAAAGTAGGGGTATTTTTATAATAAACAAACAAGCATGCACACTTTGACCTAACATAAACGCGATGACAGCGATGAGAGTTTTCTACAATTCCTGGAGTTATATCCGTTTGGATAAACTGACACTGTCGCCGACTGGGCAGCAGCAGTGCTGTTTACACATACCCATAAATCATATAAGAAAAATCTCTTTCAAGAAATATAGAAAATAAATGGGAAAAGTTCAAACGATAGGAAGGTTAGTTTTCGCATAGTCAGATTTTATCGCTGGAGTATCTCATTTCCAGCAGCACGATTGATTCGTAATTTATTTTCTTTCCTTATCACCCTCATTAATGAAGCTCTTGATACGCTCACGGAACTCACTCAATTTATTTCTTGCCTGACCCTGGTAGAGTTTCATTCGGTTTAATAGCCGTAAAATCTTAAGAAAAAGAATCGCTATGTTTTCTTCTTCCGGCCTGCAAATTAGTGCGAAGGATCTTAATTATATTATAGACTTGATGACCAGCCGTAACAAATGTGATCCACAAGCAAAGAATAACTTGCGCCAAGCCGAGTGGAAAGTGTGAACACATTAGCGCTAATTTGTGAAGAGAGTACTTGTGAAAATTCTCACTAACAGATCACGGGAAACTAACGCAGCGGCCTTCCCATCTATGTTTTATATAAGCTCTTGTCTGTGATCATTTGGTTCATTTGGGTTGCCGAGTGTTGAGTGTAGTCTCCGACATATGGTCTGCGTGAAATAGGGGTGTATACAACATGGGATAGGAAATAAGGGTAATGTCAACTTACAGCTATTGTTCCTCTCTGGCTGGTGGTGATGACCCTCAGGACTGCTGCCCGGGGGGTGGGGAATGTTGCCATTTAAGGTCGGGGAACACCCCTGTGGGGTGGGTAGTCCGTGCTGTGAGGGATCGGTGTTAGCAAACATTGCACAATTTTCACTTGGTAATTCTTCCAAGTCCAACAAATGGCTGACACTGAAGTTGGCTTTGTTGTTGTGTAATGCTGCCGCAGTGTAGTGGTGAACTTTGTCAAAATTACTGCCAAACTGGTGATCCGGAGTTGGAGCTATACCGTAACTACTCATCTTCCACCCTTCCTTCCTTCCTTACTTCTTCCCTCGATCTCTCACACTGCGTGTTCTGAATTCTCGCGGCGCACCTGCTGCTGACCACTGACCGCCCCTATGTGGAAGATACTGACCACTTGCAGCCTAACCAATGGTGCAGCAGTTGATGTCCCTTTATACACAAGGGAGTAGACGAGTAAACACGAGTGCCAACATACAGTCCTCTAGCTAGAATGCACTCCCCGACGGAAAGTGGGGACGAAATGAATCTGCTGTAAACTGATCTGGTCCTTGTAAGAAACAGGCATAGTTTTTTGCCAGTTATTCCCCGCTTGTTGAGCGACAGGCGCCAGGATTCCGCCGTGCCATTGAGAACAGCTAAGGGGGTGGTACCATTTCTGGGTCCCACGATTTTGGTTGGTAGGATATTGTTTACGCCGTGCTCCCCCCAGCAAGAGTGGGAGAGATGAGCACTTGACTGATGGGTTTTGACATGGAAACGTTCTCCAGGCAATTCCACATCATATCCTACCATGCACCTATCTCCAAATTCCTGATGATGTCAGGGCAGATTCCAGCATCTCTCATTCTAATTAACTCGCCTGTGTTACTTGCTACATACGATGGCACAAGCGAAAAAGGTTGTAAAACACGATTTATGAAGTAAGTAAGACATCGAATATAAAGATGATTTAGTTATGAATTAGGACCTTCGTATGTTCTAACATTGGTCTCAAGTTGTAGGCTTGCCATAGTGTTACATTGTCTCTATCGTACGTGGAGATGGTGCGTCCCCTTTCCCCACTCAACTAAGGTGGTTTACATTTCACTACCTACACTATCCCACAAAGGAAGGTTATTACACCTGTGGAACATATGGACCAATACCTTAGTTATTCGTCAATACGTGTGTTGCTACTGCACGCTTTCTAATGTTTAGGCACTGTTGTTGATCAGAAAACACGAAATCTTAATGCGGGTCGAAACCTTGTATGACAGGATTGACTGTATAAGCTTTTGTCAGTTAATGAAGACTATATTGTATTTCTTTACTTTCCTTTACGGGTATATTCTGCTAGATGTCAACAAACTATATGTCTGGTGTGCGTTTTCTATTTGTAACATACGAGTAATCTGGGGACCCTCTACACAGGAGAGGGTGGGAGCTGTGTTCTGATCTGCTCAACCTTTGCTCGAGGATGAACTACTCATCATGTGCACAGTGAAGATATCATATATCAAAATAGGTTTTTCGAACTTTATTGACTAATCATTTGACGCAACATAACTTTATGTGATAGGTTTCCCTTAGCTTCTGAGCGTGTGCTTGCTAGTTTCCCATACATCACTTCTCTGTCTGCCAGATGTCAAAGTTACCAGCATCTCAATACAACGGCCCAATAAACACTTCTATCTTCATGTACTGAACACTGAAAATAAACACATATATCTTCCTATATTGAACACTGACAATAAACATATATATATTCCTATACATACCACAGACAATAAACATGTATATCTCCTATACAGACCACTGACACTAAACATATATATCTTCCTATACAGACCACAGACAATAAACATGTATATCTCCTATACAGACCACTGACACTAAACATATATATCTTCCTATACAGACCACAGACAATAAACATGTATATCTCCTATACAGACCACTGACACTTAACATATATATCTTCCTATACAGACCACAGACAATAAACATGTATATCTCCTATACAGACCACTGACACTAAACATATATATCTTCCTATACAGACCACAGACAATAAACATGTATATCTCCTATACAGACCACTGACACTAAACATATATATCTTCCTATACAGACCACAGACAATAATCATGTATATCTCCTATACAGACCACTGACACTAAACATATATATCTTCCTGTACAGACCACAGACAATAATCATGTATATCTCCTATACAGACCACTGACACTTAACATATATATCTTCCTATACAGACCACAGACAATAAACATGTATATCTCCTATACAGACCACTGACACTAAACATATATATCTTCCTATACAGACCACAGACAATAAACATGTATATCTCCTATACAGACCACTGACACTAAACATATATATCTTCCTATACAGACCACAGACAATAAACATGTATATCTCCTATACAGACCACTGACACTAAACATTTATATCTTCCTATACAGACCACTGACACTAAACATTTATATCTTCCTATACAGACCACTGACACTAATCATGTATATCTCCTATACAGACCACTGAGTCCCACAAGAAAGCAGCTGGTTACTGAGAACACGAACACCCGTGAGTCTCTGAAGTCAGTCTACCCGTTCATTTCCAAATAAATGACATATTTTATTTATTAAGCCTTTATTTCTGTATGATAGAAATCAGTTTCAGAAATACTTTGCATGAACACTGTGGGTGGGTGTTTGTGATACAGCACAAGAACATGTTTTCTCAAACCGAATCAATCTAAAGATATGAACGGTGAAAATAGTATTTAATTCTGATTTCTTGTGGCGTGGGGTAAATAATGAAACGTGCTTGACGCCAAACCTTACTTGTGTTGACTTACTGCTTGGAAGATTTGCAATTTCAGGTGTTTCATAAAGACGATGGTAAGTTGTGGAGCAGGGAGGTTAAAACTATGTTAAAAAACTTTCAGGAATGTTCTTTGTCAACTAGTAAGAGCAGCTAAATAGTTCGTTACAATTGTTACATATTATCAATGGAAATATACATTGCATTAAAATCTGTTTACTATGGAAAGACCACCGGAGATATACCACAAGACGCACGCAGTGTTCTTCTATACATGGATTGATATTCAATGTTATTTTGTTGAGTAGCGTTTTCCTGACATGTGAACGTTGGGCAGCTATAACACCTTATAGAAAAGGTGATTATTCACATCCCAATATTTGTTTGTTGTTAGTTTGTACTGAAATGAGGCTGAAATATTGTGTATTAATGAACGACACAAAGCTGAATAACAATGCCTATTACGAAAGTGCACTCAACAATTGATAACGCATTCGTGCTTCAGATTTTGCTTCAGGAAATGACAAAATGTTCCTCGGGCATATATTTCTTAAAATGGAAGAGGGCGATATGACCTTTTTGCCTTTTGATCAAACAAAAGCTATGCGATAAGAACACTTTGTATCCACCCACAAGTTGAGTGGGCACGGTCTCATTTTGAGTCATTGAGCATTTTACTTTTCATGTAGCTTTGTTACAGAAGTAGTAGTTCATCAAATAGAATTGTTGTGAAGGAAATATTACCTCTAATCAAACTGCTTTTATCTTTTGATCATTCCCATTTTTGAGTGTCTATTGGAGTTGCAAAGACCGTATTTTGTGATGTAGGGAATAAAAGCAAATATTGGTGAGTGTCTATTGGAGTTGCAAAGACCGTATTTTGTGATGTGGGGAATAAAAGCAAATGTTGGTGAGTGTCTATTGGAGTTGCAGAGACCGTATTTTCAGATGTGGGGCATGAAAGCAAATGTTGGTGAGTGTCTATTGGAGTTGCAGAGACCGTATTTTGTGATGTGGGGAATAAAAGCAAATATTGGTGAGTGTCTATTGGAGTTGCAAAGACGGTATTTTGTAATGTGGGGAATAAAAACAAATATTGGTGAGTGTCTATTGGAGTTGCAGAGACCGTATTTTGTGATGTGGGGAATAAAAGCAAATATTGGTGAGTGTCTATTGGAGTAGCAGAGACCGTATTTTGTGATGTGGGGAATAAAAACAAATATTGGTGAGTGTCTATTGGAGTTGCAAAGACCGTATTTTGTGATGTGGGGAATAAAAGCAAATATTGGTGAGTGTCTTTTGGAGTTGCAGAGACCGTATTTTGTGATGTGGGGCATGGAAGTAAATATTGGTGAGTGTCTATTGAAGTAGCAGAGACCGTATTTTGTGATGTGGAGAATAAAAACAAATATTAGTGAGTGTCTATTGGAGTTGTTGCAGTGACGGTATTTTCATATGTGGGGCATGAAAGCAAATATTGGTGAATGTCTATTGGAGTGGCAGAGACCGTATTTTGTGATGTGGGGAATAAAAGCAAATGTTGGTGAGTGTCTATTGGAGTTGCAGAGACCGTATTTTCAGATGTGGGGAATAAAAACAAATATTGGTGAGTGTGTATTGGAGTTGCAAAGACCGTATTTTGTGATGTGGGGAATAAAAGCAAATATTGGTGAGTGTCTTTTGGAGTTGCAGAGACCGTACTTTCAGATGTGGGGCATGGAAGTAAATATTGGTGAGTGATTATTGGAGTTGCAGAGACCGTATTTTGTGATGTGGGGAATAAAAACAAATATTGGTGAGTGTCTATTGGAGTCGTTGCAGTGACGGCATTTTCATATGTGGGGCATGAAAGCAAATATTGGTGAATGTCTATTGGAGTGGCAGAGACCGTATTTTGTGATGTGGGGAATAAAAGCAAATGTTGGTGAGTGTTTACTGGAGTTGCAGAGACCGTATTTTGTGATGTGGGGCATGAAAGCAAATATTGGTGAGTGTCTATTGGAGTTGCAAAGACCGTATTTTGTGATGTGGGGAATAAAAGCAAATATTGGTGAGTGTCTATTGGAGTTGCAGAGACGGTATTTTGTGATGTGGGGAATAAAAACAAATATTAGTGAATGTCTATTGGAGTTGCAGAGACCGTATTTTGTGATGTGGGGAATAAAAACAAATATTGGTGAGTGTCTATTGGAGTTGCAGAGACCGTATTTTGTGATGTGGAGAATAAAAGCAAATGTTGGTGAGTGTCTATTGGAGTCGCAGAGACCGTATTTTGTGATGTGGGGCATGTAAGCAAATATTGGTGAGTGTCTATTGGAGTTGCAGAGAACGTATTTTGTGATGTGGGGCATGAAAGCAAAAATTGGTGAGTAAACAAGTAGAACATATATCATAATGGAAGTTATCTACAAAAGACATGTTTTTACAGAACTAAAATACTGGTATAAATAACCTTTAATAAGTATACTGATATAGCATTTCTATCACGGCTGTCTCGGGCAAAAGCCACGTCAGTTCAAGGAAAGAAGGCTTAGGAAGTGTTCCCTGCCAGGCAATATCTCGTCAACAAGTGATTCAAAGATCGCACAAATGACTTACAATGTAAGAGAGCACAGAAAAATCTCAAAATTAAAAATGAAATAATTCAATGATGAAGCACTAGTGTAATGCGAGGTAACTTGCTGGTTCTGTTAAACAACTCCCTGACATGGCAAGTG